GGATAATCTGGTTCACAGCCTCCTCTTCCAGTCTAGCCTAGCCATGTTCCAACTTTTCTACCCATGTCCTGAGGTTTGCAGAGTTTGCCTGGCCTTGGTGAGGGCCGTGGGCTACATGCGAGGGTCCACTGGAGGGTTTTACATTTCCTAACCTCTGCAGCTATAGTAGCCCCAGATTTCCAATCCAGTTCCCTAATTTTTGGATCAATGTGTTTTCAGTTCTCTGATGTCGTCTCTAGGACAGTGCCTGGCATATTGTAGGTGCTCAGTAAATACATGACTGAAGAAGACAGAGGCAAACAGCCTAGATGTGGCCTCTGTCCTCATGGAGTTTACAGTCTAAGGGAGGACACAGAGGTTAAACACAATATGGCAAAGGAACATAGTGAACTGAGAGCTTGGGCAAGTGTTGTGGGTGGGGTGTGGTGTTAATTGGGAGAAGAAGTCCACCAGAGCAGGCTACCCAAGAACTGAGACAGGAGAGGATGTGAGGTCCAGAGCTGAGATCAGATTTCAGACAGAGGAACCTACAAAGCAGTCTGGCTGCCTGCACTTGTCTTCTCCCATGCCCACTGCACCCAGGGCAAGCCCATACCCCTTCTGGCATTGATTCTTAACAATTTTGGGGTCAGCCGAGTGGCTCAGTTGGTTAAGAGCTTGCTCAAGAGTGCGAGCTTTGAGAAACACTGGTTCGAGTCCCGGCCCAAGCTGAGCTGCCGCTGAGCTGTCAACAGGTGGCAGGATGGCTCAGCTAAAAAAACAACAAAAAAAAACAATTCTGCTCATGGTTCTCCTTTGCCTGAGGAGAAACTGGAGCTCAGAGAGGAAGGGTCACTCTGCAGGATCCCAACCAGGTCTTCTCTTTCTAGGTCCTGGAAAGGCCTGGCATTCCTAGCACTGCTCCTTACTGGATGGGACTGGATACCTGGAGAAGGACTGTGCTGCTCTCTTCCTCTACTTCCTGGAGCCTACTCTGGATGGTCTACGTCTTCCTGGGCAGGGAGAGGCAGTGTGTCAGCTTCCAGTTCTCGGGTCAAGGCCCCTGGCCTGCTGGGCTGGTCTCTTACCCTGGCAGCCCTGGCCCAGCAATTCACGAGTGTGCTTCTGTGGGTGGCCAGTCTGCTCCCACCTGCACTTTACATGCCTTGTCCCTGAGTCCTCATCACAGCCAGGGAGGTTGTCCCTGTCCTCTCCAGATGAGGAAATGCCCAGGTCACACAAGTACTTGTGCCTAGTCCTGTGTGACCCAAGTCCGGGCTCTGAACTGGTGCCATATAGCCTAGCCCAGTGGCTCTGGCAGCCAGAGTGTAATTGTAATCCCTAAGCCCTTGGACAAATGGCTGCTGCTTCCTGAGGACCCTGTTGCTATTGGCAACATCATGGTTTTCCAGCGACCCACTGTTGCCAAGACAGACCTATCTTCCATCTTCTGTCATCTCTACTTCTCTCTCCTCTGGACCTATTTAAATCACTCTCCTTCCTCTGCAGCCTGAAGCATGAGGCCTTGTCTACTTTGTCCAGTCATTTGGCTGTTGCTCTAGATTAGGGGACAGTTCTTTTTTTTTTTTTTAAAGATTTTATTGGGGAGTTGGGGAAGGAGAACAGTGTTGGGGAATTGGAGAAGGGGAACAGCCAAGTTGTTGTCCTTCAATCTTAGTTGTGAAGGGCGCAGCTGCCTCAGCTCCAAGTCCAGTTGTTATCTGGCCACCCATCTGTGGCTCGCGGCCGCTCAGCTCAAGGTGCCATGAGCTTGGGTGCAGCTCACTGGCCCATGTGGGAATCGAACCAGTGACCCTGTTGCTCAGAGCTCGCACTCTTAACCAACTGAGCCACTTGGCTGGCCCCAGAGGACAGTTCTTTATCAAATGCTTTTTGAGTGCCCAATCTGGTCAGGGTGGAGTAAGAGCCAGGCACCATGTTAATTTCTTTATTCTTCAAACACAGAGAACCTCCAATGGGGTTTGCTGAAGGGAGGAAGGAAGGAGGGAGTAAGGAAGATAGGATAGAACAGAAGGAGGGAGAGTAGGAGGGAGGGAGGGAAAGAGGGAAGGAGACTTTTAGGTCAGACCTTGGTTTACCTCTCACAGTCCTAGAGCAGACTTGGGCTCAAGCCTCTGATCTGCTGAGTAGCTGAAATAAAGTTGATTGACCCCTTGAGCCTCAGTTTGTTCCTCTGTAAAAGGGATTGATAATAGTTCCAACCTCAGAGGGCATTTGGAGGAAGTCAATGCTTGTGCATTTTGCACTTGTGGGAGCCCACCACACAGCAGGCTGTCAAGTTCCTCAAGGGGCGGGTGTGGTAAGTTGAGTCCTTAGGAATGACTAGACTTGCCAGATGGATAAGGGGGTGTTGGAGGGAAGGAATGACAAAGGCATCACAGGCAGGGTGGGTGGTGTGGCTGGAGCACTGGTTATAGGAAGGGAGGGATGTAGGACATGAGGATTTGAGCCAACAGAAGCAGGTCAAGACAGAACCTCACCTGCGTGGACCAGACTGGGATCTACCTCCTGGAGCTCCACTTCCTAGCTGGGTGATGCCAGGCAAGCCATTCTCTCAGGGCCTCAGTTTCATCACCTGTGAAATAGAACATGTTAGCATTGCTCTGTGGTGCCAATGAACTCAGTGGTGGGTGCAAATGTCTAGTGTTCAGTGCCAGGCACATAGTCAGCCTTATTGAGTATGAGTGTCTATTGCTAATCCCTGCCTTAGCAGAGGCACTTTCTTTTCCCTGCAATGTCTCTTGTCCTCTCTCCTGCTGAAGAACTCCTTCTGTCCCTGGCCCTGCCCCTGGCCTCTGTCAGGTCCCCACTCTGAGTCCCTACACCTCACCAAATCCTCCTACCTTCTGTTGTTTTCCTTGGTGCCTTCCCAGGATGCTGCCAGCCCCTTAATGGCAGGGGCCACCTTTGTGTCTTCCTCTCTGAACCTAGTAGGTGAGCACCCAGGACCCTGTGCTGATTGGAGGAAGGAGCAGCATGTGGTAAGGTTGAGCAGAAGGGCCTGGAATCCAGAAGGAGGAGGAAGAGGAGGAAAAAGCCACTTTTGATGGGAGGCTCAAGGAGGTGGCATGAAAAGGTCAGGTCTGAACGAAGAGGGTTAGCTAAGTGAAGGGAGGAGCTGGTGTGACCAGAAGCCAGACCAGAAGCTCAAAGACCAGGCAACTTCCACTGGGACTGGGTACCTTTCCTGTGTGCTGCTCACGGCCTCGGTTCTCTACCTGCAAAGTGGGTACAAGGGAGCCATCTTGCAGGGCAGTGGTGAGGATGCAGGAAGATGCCACAGCAGGGCTGCCATGAGCTACTGTGAGTGGCTGGCTCCCAGTGTGAGCTGCCATGAGTGGCCGTCCAATGATCGGTGAGCAACTGCCTCACTCGGGAAGAGCGCAATGATAATACCAACATGGGCCAGTGAAGCGATGTCCTCCATAACTAGGCTGAAGAACAAAAGGACAGCAAATTTCTGTTCCCCTTCCCCGATTTTCTAATGCTGTTCCCCTCCCCCAATTCCCCAATAAAATCTTTAAAAAAAAAAAAGGTTGCCACAGCAAAGGCTATTCTCAGCACCTGGTCTCCCTTGATCCCAGCCTCTATTCCCAGTTTAGCATGTCAAGGTCAAGAGTATGCATTGTGCTTCCTCAACTGGCTTGGAATTCTTCAAGGCAGGATCCTTTCCCTCTGTGGTTCTCCATAGAGGAAAGCAGTTCCTAATAGAGCTGTGTTTTTTCTTTGACCTGGGCCCACTAACCACCAGGCTCAGTGCACACAGTAGGACCATGGAGTCAGTTCCCTGGCCAGGCTTCCAAGTCCCCCATGACTCTAGGGAGCTAGCTAATGGAATCCCTCATAGATTTGCCAAATGTTTATTGAGCACCCACTGTGTGCTGGCCCTGGGGGAGATAAAAGGCAAACAGGGTCCTTGATTACATATGGATTATCTTCTAGTCTCCCCCTGTCACCCCCCTCCCCCACTTCCCCCACCCCTGCCAGGACACTGTGAGAGGCCAGCTCTATTCCAGGCTATGTATTTTCCAGTGCCGTTTTCTTCTCTCCTTTCATGCTAGAATGGAGAAAAGCTCCTTTAGAAGGTCTAAACGTGTTTTGAAGCTGTATCCTTCTCTTTGCCTGCACTACAATCTGAGGTCCAAACCACCATCACACCTCTTTGGCTGGATAGCTGCAACAGGCCTCCAAAGGGCCCTTCCTTCTATTCTTATCCTCCTACCTACCTCCATTTTTCCATTATCCAATCAGAGTACTCTCCTTAAAAACCTGCATCCTTCTATTTGGTTGCTACCCACATGTCTCCAGGGGCTTTCACAGCACATAGCTTAGAAGAAAAGTCAAATCCCTCTGGTTCCTACAAGGCTCTCCACAGTCTGTCACCAGCCTCCCTCACTCCGTCTAATCCTTCTTCCTCTATTCTGTCCACCTACCACTCAGTTTCATGACATTCGCCAGTGTCATTTCCCCTACCTGAAACATTCTCCTCTAAGCCTCCCCGCTGCTCCTTTCCATCCTTCAGGTCCCAGCGTTGGCTGTGGACGACAGTTGGACTCTACCCCTAGCTGGCTGCATGAACTTGGGCAAATCATTGGGCTTCTCCATGCTTCTGTTTCCCATGAAATGGGGCTGTTAGCGTTGGTAACAATGGTAACCAATGTTAGCTATTATTATTTATACTATTTCCACACTGAGGCTCCCCTGACTTCCACATGAAAAGTAGGTTCCCCCAACCATTTTCCTATCACCCAGTTTTCTTTTCTTCACAGCGCTTAGCAGTACCTGAAATAGATACTCAACAATAGGTTATTCAACAATCTTATGCAACCAATATTTATTGCAAACCTACTATGTGCCAGGCACTGTTTGTAATTGCCATAGGATTAGACACCATGGAAAGGCAGGATCTCTGCCTGCTTCATTCACCCAGGCCTTCCCAGCACTGAGGCCGGCACACAGTAGGCGTTTTGCTCGTCCGGTGCAACCCGCCCGCCCCTCCCCCGCTCCAGGAAGTGCGGGGGCTCAGCCGCCCAGCCAGCCGGCCCGATGCACACTGGGAAAGCAGCAGCACCAGATCCAAGATGGCGGCCAGCAGGAGGCTGATGAAGGTAAAAGCCATTCTCCGGCGCCGGCCGGGCCGGGGGCGGCGTCCCAAGCCCGGGGTCCCCGCGGCCGGCCCGGACTCCTTTGGGCTCCGCCGCCTGGCCTCCCACCCTGCGTGGCCCCGCCGCCCCCTGCCCCGGACCGTGCGCGGGCTGGGGGAGCTAACGGGGCCGTCTAGGCCTCAGCCTGGGCGGGAGCTCCAGGCCGCGCTGGTAGCCGCCTCCGGCCCCTCAGCCCTCCCGGGGGCGTCCGCTCCGCCCGGAGCCAGGCCGGATCCCTCTCCTCGCGGCGGCCGCTTCCCAGGCCGGGGGCGGCGTTGATTGGGGGGCTCGACCGGGAGGCCCTAAACCGGGCGCCCGCGGGGAAGGCCCGAGCGCTGGAGCCCCGGCCGGGATCCCGCGCCGTGGAGCCGCCCCGCCCTGAGCTGCAGCGCGCCGTACTCGGAGCCCTGCTCCGCCTGGCCGCAGCTTGGGAGGCCGGGAGGTTTAGGCTGGGGAAGGAAGGAGGAGGTCGGAAGACGAAAGTTAGGTCAGTTTTTGATGGGTCGTTTGAAATTGCGCTAGGTCCTAGCAAACTGTCGCCTTGTGACTGCAAAGTCACAAGCGGGCAAGTTCCAACTCCAGGAAGGCGTGGAGTCGGCCCCCATCTCGCGCGGTTCTCCCTGTCTCCTTTCCTCCCCACCACTGAGTCATACCGATCTCCTCTCCCTGATGAAGCAGAGGACCATTTTTGAGGTGTGGGGGTTGGCTTCAATCGTTCGAATCAAAACCAGCTAAAGTTTATAAATACAACTTGGTACTTTGTATCTTGAATGCAATAGGGTGTCTTCTTGCTAATTGGCTCCTTTGATGAGGAACACGGATGCTAAACTGGTTTAATTCTTTCTCGAGTGTGTTTGCCGGCGTCCTCCGGAACCGACCTCGCCAACACTTGTGAGTCGGCTGGCGTGTAGTGCTGCCGGGCTGCACCGCGCCGGAAATAAAAAAGGCCCAGAGGCTGGTTTCCTGAAGGGAGATAAAGAGCTGGGGTTTCTCCTGGGCAGAGCAGTGCTTGGTAGAACTGGACATTGAACTTGGAGTCACAGCCTCTGGGTCCTCCCTCCGGGGCTCTCCCTCTCTGGGAACATTTCCTTTCTTTTGTTCACTAAGGGCTGGAGACGACATTTAACTTCATAAAACTGGATTGGAAGTGGGCACAAAAGGACAGTCAGCAGACTCCAGCCTCTCTGCATCTCTTCTCTGTTAATGACACCACCATTCACCCAGTCATCCAGATGAGAGGACTGTTACTTATTTCCCTACTCTACTCCCCAAATGCTGTCACCCATTAAGCCTTGTGAGTTTTAATTTACTTTAGAGAGATTTCTTGTGTGCACGCCTTCCTTCCTAATCTTACAGAAATTACTTGAATTCATACTCTTATCTCTCAGGTGCCCTCCCCCTTCTTCTCTGATTCCCCTTCAGGGACACCAGAATTCTTTTTCTAAAGTAAATATTGAGTCTTTTCACTCCTATTGAAAACCTCTGTGGTCTTATTGTCCTCAGCAGTTAATCCTAACTTCTTACTTGGCTTGCAAGACCCTTCTTAGGTTGGCTGAGAGTAATCTGTTCAGCCTCCCCTCCTGCCTCTTGGTTTTCCACTACCCTTGCACCTAATCACAATATCTACATTATTTATTATTATTATTATTATTATTATTATTATTATTTTGCGCTTTTACTCTGTGCAGCTCTGTACTTCGTATTCATGATCATGTTTAATCCCTGTGACCTAGACATTATTATTCCCATTTTGTAGATGAGAAAATGGAATGCAGAGTGATTTGTTGACGTGTGTGCCCAAGTTTTCCTAGCTAAGGAGAGAGTGAGCTGTGATCTGAATTCTGACTTCAAAGTCCCCACTCTTACTCACTTGCTATGTGGTCTCCCTTTGCACATGCTGTTTGCTCTTCCTGAGAAAGGCTGCCTTCTCACCTCTCCCTCCCAGGGAATTCCCAGGTTCACCTCCAGTGCCAGTTACTCTGTGACGCTTTCCCCATCCCCCTTAAGAATGAGTTGTTTCCTCCTTTGTGTGACCACAACACTTTCTTTATGTTTCTCTTTGAGCACTTGTCACACAGTCTGATTAGTGTTAGACTTGTCTTTCTTACCTGGTTCCAACTTCCTCAAGGGCAAGGATCTTGGCCAGTTCATCCTGGTATCCCCCTAGTCTAGCCCAGTTGACCCACTTTGGGGTTCCCAGGAGTCTGAGAGGGGAGTTACTATGATTTTTAAATTTTGTGTGTGTGTGTTTCAAAAAAAAAAATTGGAGCTTAGAAAAAGATATGTAATATTAACTGAATACTTATTAGGACTAGATAATTTACATTTACATAAGTTCTTTTCAATAATACTTAAAGTTAGTGTATTGTCATCTTGATTGAGGAATAGTTTTCACAAATGAGAAAATGATGAGGCTTAGTTTGAGTGTTGCCTAAGGTGAGCAGCAGGCCTGACTGGGGAAAGATGAGATGCTAAAAACACGATGGTTCCAAATCCCAAGTTCCATGCCCCTTGTCACACTGACTTTTTATTCCAAGGATGCATGGAAGAGTATGTCATTTCTTGAGTTGCGGATGGAAATTCTGTCAATTTAGTAGGGGGAATGCTGGTTACATGATGCTGATCACTGTCTCTGAGATTCAGTGTTTAAACCTGGTTAGTTTAAAAAAAAAATGATTGATGCAGGTTGATGAATACATGGGGTGGAAATAATAAAAGGGATTTTTGATGTTGAAAAGTAAACATGTTGAATAGTCAAATGAATTACACCTTAACGCTAGAATTCCTCAAAAACTATTTTCTAGGACACTCAGAACCAGAGATTTCTTTGTAACAATGACTGTCTGTAGATAGTGTACAACACATTATTAAAAGGAGAGTGATTTGTATGTATTGGGCTGAGAAGTTACTTTAGACAAAGTGAGTATCATAAAGTCTTTAATTTAAAAAGCACTTGCCAAAAGGATTAGCTTTTTTCAGAACCCTTTTTAGGAATTACAATGTTAGTAAAACATTAAATATATTTTAATTCACAAGCAGCTAATTCAGCATCGATGGCAACAACCAGATCGTAACCATTGCTTCAAATCAGGAGGGTAATAGCTACAAAAGTGAAACCTGTAGGTGTGGCTAAGGAAATTGATTGCAGTCTGATAATTTCTTTTCAGTGTCTCAATTGCACACATCTCTCCACAGGGACCTTCTAACCGAGTATCTTCTCAGAAGGGCTTTCTCAGTGGGGAAATTTGTGAATTTAAGAGAGGGGTGATGTTTTATTAGTGGTTATGGTGTATGTGTTGAGATGAGAAATTGAGATTTGCAGCAATCTTTTGATGCTGTTTAAATAATGTTCACTGAGGACTTCATATTGGTATACTTACAGTCCATAATCATATGTGAATGGGTAGGAGGAGTCCCTAAATAACAGTTCATTCCTTGGAATTCATTGTACTAAGCAATGAACTAGTTTGCTTTTGAGTACAGGTTTATATTCTGTGAGGTTGAGTAACTAACATGATAGAGCAACGAGTGTGTCTGGTACTGGTGTGTTGTGTGTATCAAGAAGTGAGGGGAATTTTACAAATGATGTTATGCTGGGGTTTTAGGAATTAAGAAAAGCATTTCCTTTTTTATCCTAAATTCATGCATCCCAGTAAATTGGGACTATATCAATCTCCCTTAGTGATGTTCTTTGTAAATGTTTTTCTATTGAAAGATAATTGGGACAGGCCCTGAGAAAGAGTATACTCAGTTATTGCAACATTTGGGACCTTTTCTTCAGGTTTATACCAGAACAAAAACACTTGTCTTGGGATGCTTGGACCTTTTCTGATCTTCTAACAACTCTAAAGAGGCTGTTGATTCCATGTTTTATTGTACCAGGTCACTTGAAAAATATTCTCATTTCATTGAGAAGTATCACTAAATGTTCAAGGTATTTCTGTTTTCTTTGCTGCAACAGTAAGTTAGGAATTAAAGCTTAGAGAACCATGAAGACATCCCTCCTGAGCCAGACTCTATCTAACCACCTTGAAAGTTTTCCTTTGAGTGGTACAGAGACCTACAGGCGGTTAAGCCTAAGCTCATCCTATGCCCTGCACTTCTGTCTTACCTTATTTAGGTAATGGTCCACTTGTCTATTCAGCTGCCCAAGGAAGAACCTGGGGGAGCCTGCCTTGCCCCTTCCTCGCACATCTAACCACTTGCCAGGTTCTGCTGAACTACGCCTTTATTTCTGTTCTCTGCCTGTCTTTTTTTCCATCCACACTGCCACTCCTAGTTCAGGCCATCCCCATTTGTGGTGGGACACTTGAATCAAATTCCATAGTGGTTACCTTTTATTCCTCACTAGTGAGTCTATCCTCAGCCCTGCATGATTCCTAACCAGCAGTGTATCCAAAAGAAGTGCACGTGCCCAGGCCTTGCTCTCAGTGATTGTAACCAAATTCAATAGGTCAGGACACTGCATTTAAAAATCCATGTTCCTGCAAGGTCTGGTCTTGCCAGTCATTTCTCTTCCCACTTGCCCATGGAATCCCTAACATGGCATGCTCTGCATACCCCTGATCTTTTGATGGGCTTCCCTGTGTCTTCTCTGCACTAGGGTAACTTCTTGTCTTTTAAGACCCAGCTCAAGGGGCACCTCTTCTGGGCTCTCTGCCCTTGAGGAGCTCAGTAAAGGAGAAGAATGGCATGTCTCTAGAACAAAGAGATCCTGGCCTGTCCCACTGATGGATGTATGCCAGCTGAATAATGGAGTCCAAGGGAGGGAAAGACCCTCTGACATGGAGAAGGAGGTGGAACTTGGTCTGGCCCTTCAGAGTGAGTAGGGTTTCTGTAGTTGAAAAGGACAGGGCCCTAGTAGTCAGTGAGGTTGAGTAGCTTTCATACCTCAGAACGGATGTGAGCAGTGGTGCTGAGAGATGCCCTGAGGAAGCCCAGTAATAATCTACCTCCCCCCACCC